GTGCATTCGTCAGTGAAACATATGTTTTTTAAAAATTCCCTATCCGTGTTTGCTCTTTCCATCATATCAAAACAAAACGCCTGCCGCCGTATTTCGTCCCCATCTCGTAGCTCTTGGGGCTTTTCATATTTGAAGGAATAGTATTTATGTCGCTTCAAAATTCGAAACGCTGTAGTGTGATCTATTCTCCTATTTCATCCTCAAGTTTCCTTGTGCTGATCTTTCCATCGTTCTCTTCCACGCACAATAAAACGTCCAAGTCGGTATCATTTCTTACATCTTCTCTTTGTTCCTGCCTTGCTTCACATCTGCAGTTATTTATTAGGGTACCTTTGGTCTCAAATCTCTGGATATTCCTTGCGATTGTAGATTTTCCAGATATCGGTCTATTCGAATACAGAGCAGCAAACATGTCCGACACCTTTTGATAACTATTTCCTTGATAATACCATTTATCAATACTTTTTCTTCGGTAGTGTAATTCATGGCTAATATTTTCGATGTAGGTATGAGTTTTTAATAATAATAATAAAGCACTAAATAGATAAATTTCTGAAATGACAACTTCATTTGACAGTTATCTTTTACTTTGACTGGTGCTCATAAGTAAATACAGGGCCATAAGAAAGGATAAATATTTAAAAAGAAATCGGCGATAACTCGTAAACGGGCTAATCAAAAATATCTAAAGTTATTCTTTTGAATGTGGGTTTTAGTGCTCTTCAATAAACCTAAATAGGATTATTTTCTAAAATAATTAGGGAAGCCAATAATTGATCTCATTAAAATTTACATGGGATTTCCTATGTCCCGCTCGACGATGCAACACACGGTATATAATTTAATACTTAATTATCTTACTTAATGTCTTTTTACTTTTGAGAACCATCCCTTACTTGCTAATTGACAAACTCCACAATCGTTGAACGAAAATATTTTAGTACCTACAGTTCTGGAAACTCTAAAATTAATACCACCAATTAGGGTTCAGATCTTTTTGGCCATCACAGAACTGGGCCTCGGTAACAATAACTATTTTTTTTACGTGAGAAAGTTCTTTGATACTTTCTAGCGGTCGAAATCAAACTCTTCTAAATAAGTAATGATGCTATTTCTTATTGTTCTTGCTTCTTTTCTCTTTTGAAGTTCCTATAATATTTATTATGATATGTTTATAAAGTAACATTCACTGTCGCCAATTGATTTAAAAAAAATAACAGATCTGCCCATCTCTACTTAAGGGTGAGGCGATAGGGGAGGACCTTCCCTTACTAGCGTCTTTATCTAACGGATCGTGAACGGCCAGATTAGGTGGCACTGGGGACGGTGGTTTAGTTTCGGCAGATAACGGTAAACGGAAGTAATTAAAATGAAAGATAGATGGCGCGAAGGGCGGGCTTGTGGAAGAAATCCCGGTAATTATTTCTGCGGAAGATTCCAGTGACGATATTGCGATTTGCTTTTAGTATTGGTTTAAAAAGGGTTGGGTTCAGTCGGTTAAATACAATCAAAATAAACTTAAAACATTGGTTTATGAAACCCTATATCAGCGTTTCTTAACCATTTTCAGTTCGTGGACCCCTAAAAAATCAAGCACAATTTCAAAGACCCCCCTAATTAAAAAAAAGAAACACAGAAATTTTAGGACAAATTATTTTAGTACAAAAAATGCATTTTTGTAAAAATTAAAAATACTGTATTAATGTGAAGGTAATAAAAGAAAATGACGATAGAGACAGGATGACGTACTAAAATATGACCGATAAAAAGGTAATTTGTAACGCTACTGAAAACTCATTAAAAACTAATATTAAGTATAAATTACTTCATACTTAATTGTCTTAAGTTCACGCACATTTATTTTATAGATAATAAAATATTGAAGTGTTCATAGATCTCTCTAACAGAATTGAATTTTAATTATACTGTAATAATCCATATGTAAAAACTCAAAGGTTTTTTTTACCTATATAATTACTGTAATAATCCAGCTATAAAAGCTCAAAGGGTTTTTTCCCCATCCATCCCGCGGCTACCGCTTCACCAATTTTAATGATTCTTCTTTTACATGAAAGGTACACAAGAAGGTACATATAACAGGAATCACGAGAAGTTTATCCGTAGATTTGTTTATGAAGTATTTTTATATTGTTTAATCGCTATTCTTTATGCAAAACGAAACTATTAAAACATACCTGAAAAACACCAACCATCGTCCTTGGAAACATAGAAAATCCCATCCAAATTTTGAACTGTCCAGATATTGGCTCTCCTATTGATTTTATAGCAAAGTTGTAAATATATTTTTTTAAGGTCTACGTTTGGTAAACACACAGGCCAAATTTGAATAATTTTTGACTAGCCGATTTTGAGTAATTTGAGAAAAACTGAATCGATTTTTAAATTAAAGTTGAATAGGTAACAATCAAACACCAGTCAAAAACAGACATACATTAAGTTGGCAGCGTCATTTTCGAACGTAACTTAATTTTAATAAAATTTTAATATTCAGTACTAGTAATAATTTATTGTTATACACATAAAGAAAAAGTGAGCATGATAAAATGCTACTACGCGGGAAATACCTTAGACAGTGGATCTGACATGTTTCGGTTATTTTCCCTGAATATTAAAATTAAATTACTTTTGACCATGACAAAATTATAGTTTGTAAACCTAAGGTATGTTAGTTTTTGACTGGTGTTTGATTGTTACCTGTCCGGTTTTAATCTAAAAATAGATGCAATCTTTCTTAAATTACTTAAAATCGGCTGGTCCAAAATTGTTCAAATTTGGCATGTGTATTTACCATACATAATCCTTTAAAAAATCTATTTACGACATCGCTGTAAAATCAATAGGGGAGCCAATATTTGAACAGTTCAAAATGTGCATGGGAATTCGTATATTTCCAACGACGCGCGACGATGCACCACCCGGTATATCAAGTTTTTAGATATTTTAAGGATCAGTTCATAAGCTGGCTTTAGACAAAGTTTACAAAGGTTCTTTCAAATGACATTAGTATATTAGCTATACAAAGTGAGGAACACTTAGAAGACATTTTTGAAATTCACCAATTAAATGGGTAAAGTTAATAAAAAATTATATTAAACTTTGTGACCGCTGAATCATTCACATAAAAATTAGCATATAGGCCCGTTTAAAAAACATGAGTTAATTAGTTGGACAGAGAGTTGAACAAAGCAAATTTAGGAAATGCGTCCCCCCATAGATTTTTTTAATTACATATTATACTATAAGGTATACAGAATATACACTGTGTCAATTTTAAAACTTCCCACCCTTAATATCTTTTTTCCAGTTAAAAATATGAAAATGGGAAAAATACGTCAATTTTATTTGTAAGGGGGACACTTTAAATGAATATTTTCAGCTTTTTTCTTTCAACCCCCTAGGAGGGGTAGATGTCACTCTTACAATCTTAAATGGGATTGGGGGTCAAGCGACACATCGTTTTAAAGAACGTTTTTTCAGTTCTTTTCAGTGGTATCTTACTTTGTTGCTTTTTTATCTAAAGGTTTCCGAATAATCGCGTTTCAAAGTTGCAGAAACAATTAAACATGCCTGCATTGAGATTTTGGTTTTCAGGCTAGTGTTTACACAAAAATTATTGCAATGTCCTTGTAGTACAAAGGATTAGAAGATTAGGTTATATTACTTGCACCCTTGCTCTTATAAGTTGTTCAAAATGTTGTCCATTTTCCTGTAAACAATAATAAAGTCAAACTCCTCCCTAACGTTTCGGAAAACTTTACCGGGAATTGACCGGCATTCTGCTGTAATTCGCCTTTTAAGGTTTTTCAGTAGGTTGTGTTTTATAAACAATGAATTTAAGACATCCCCAAAGAAAGAAGTCTAAGGGTATTAAATCCGGTGATCTTGGAGGCTATTCAATTGGTCCCCTTCTGCCAATCTCCCGTCAACCCGGAAATCTCCCGTTAGTTAAAAACTACTGTCTGACTGGAAGAAAATAATGAGGTGGAGCACCGTCCTGCTTGAATGTTAACAAATCCTCCTGTAAAACCGGATTACCCTCTACATCAATTTGTTTCTACCTCTTGGGTGATAAGTGAAGATGTGTCTTGAAGCGTATTAAAATACAGATCACCTGTCAAGTTTCTTTCAATAAATAAAGAAGCAATAATGGCATTTCCAAGAATACCAGCCCAAACATTAACTTTTTGGGGATATTGTGTATGTCCTTCTCGAAAAACATGCGGGTTTTTTTGGTCACTCCAATATCGACGATTTTGTTTGTTAATGATATCAAAATACTAATAAACATTTGCATTTAGAAAAAATTAACATTCAACGGAAAAACAGCCTTCATGCCTCCTCTGAAAGTTGCCACTCGTTCGAATTTGACAAAAGAAATGTTAATGTTTATGATGTTTTCTGTTTATTAGTATTTTGACACCCCTAGAAAAATGTAATAGCTACGTCTATGTTACCACCTAATCTTCTAATAATTTGTACTACAAGGAGACCCATTGCAATAATTGTGAAAACCAAAATCTCAATGCAGGCATGTTTAATTGTTTCTGCAACTTTGAAACGCGATTATTCAGAATCCTCTGGACAAAAAGCAACAAAGTAGGATACCACTGAAAAGAGAATTAAACGCCCTTTCAAACGATGTGCCACTTGACCCCCATTCCCATTTAATATTGTAAGGATTACACCTACCCTTCCTAGGGGGTTGAATGAAAAAGGCTCAAAATACTCATTTAAAGTGTCCCCCTTACAAATAAAATTGACGTGTCTTTTCAATTTTTCATATTCTTAACTGCAAGAAAGATATTAAAGGGAAGTTTTAAAATTGACACAGTGTATAACTAAAGATTAGAGGTGGGAAAAAGCTAGTTTTTTATAAGCATTTTTGCAATTAACTTCACCCGACCTTAATCTTTCCGATCCAAATATTTAATCTAAATTTTTAATTTCCGACTAAGCGAAAATTACCTCATTTGTTCCAGATAATTGGTCCAACGATCAATTTTGCCACCCTCATCATAATCATCGCAATCACCATCATCAGTCGCAGACCACGCCCCCTGGGGGCACCCTTCTCGAAGACGTCATCGGTGACGATATCATCAGTAACGCCGCCACCCTCACCAGGCGTTTAGAGCAAGAGCTGCGAGCGGCCAAGCGGAGTCATTTAGCTTGCGGGGAGGTTTTGTTGCCGTGCGGGCTACTACAGAGGGTAATTATCTTTCTTCTTAAATTCCTTATACCGACCTGGTCAATCTAAATCGCTGGTCTGTCTATTAACCTTTAATTAACTTGCGGAAATGGAAGTAGTGGTGAGCAAGACCAAGACTCGCCTTGTCTTGGTCTTAATCTTGCGGGAAATAAGTAGTCCTGGTCTTGGTCTTGCTGTAATTTGACACTCTTGGAAGTTTTGAAATTTTTTAATAGATTTTTACTAGTTGCACTTTCTACATAAAAATCTCTAAACAAATAGGTAGTATTAATATAGTACGAGCAGGCGCGACCGAAATTCTGTACCACAATTTTACTAATTTCCTTAAAACAAAATATCCATTGGACGTAGGTCGGTTTTGCCATTAACTATTCTTATTTAGGGATATTTGACACCCTGGGTCGTAGTAGTTGCGTATCCAGCAATTTTGGTTCAGTAGCAATTCTGTCGTAAACCTGGCAATTACAAAAGTTGCGTTACTCCGTGCCACTGCGTGCCCGGTTATTTGAGTAAAATAATTATCATATTATTTATTTTGCGTTATTTGGTGTAATTTTAAATTGTAAATTAATTTTTTCAATTGCTTTCATAATAATCTGTTAAATATATGTTATATAACCTGTAGTAATGACGGAAAGGCCAGTATAGAAACTCTTTCCAGAGATTTCCAAGTTTTCCGCGCTAAATATGCTCCAGTGTCAAAGGTACTAGTTGGTCCCTGCCATGTATATGAAACCCATAAAACTACTAGTTTTTGCAATTAATGCAACAAATTTCTTCGCAAAAACTACAGTGTCTAGAAGTCTAAACGTGAAGAAGTCTAAACATTTAGATGATAGTTTCTAAAATAGTTTCTTCCAGTGCTGTTATACGCGCCCGGTTGTGTGAAAAAAGTAGTGATGGGAAAAACCGATTAATTTCAATAATCGAGTACTCGAGTTTCAAGCGATTGCTGGAGTGAAATATCCAAATTTTCGCTCGAGTTATCCCATCACTAGAAAAAAGTTCTTAAAGTACGCGCCTACCCGAGGGTTAAAGTAATTTAATGCAACTTTAATGAAAAATATTTGTCTAATGGAGACTTTTATTTTTATGTGATATTGAAACAGAATTGATTTTTTAAAATTTTAATGCAGTCAGGAAATCATACAGCAAAAGTCAGGAAAACACTATCTATAATATACAGAGTGCCCCAGAAATAAGTGCAAGTATTTTAAGGGGTGCTCTTATTCTTAGTCGGCAACTTGATTTCAAGCATCGTGCCTTCATGAAATGTCTCGTACTGTCAGTCGCCATTCATCTTGATCTTCAGCTATTCTTATTGATTGTGGTAGCGTTGTTGTGTAGATCTGGCCAAAAGAAACATATTTTTCTTTACCATTTTTAAAATAAATTGATAATAACCGAGTTATTTAACTTTGAAAAATAATGTAGCAATCGATAATCAGCAGCAAATACCAAGCTTACTTTTTTTTTGTGAACAAACACCAAAATTCTAGAAACATAGATTCAGACTATTTGAATAATAAAAATCTTTTTTCAGGCTTATCTTACATTTGCCTATTTTTTTAGTTTTGTCAGATTTTTACTGTTTTGAGTAAAATCTCAAATGAATTGGATAACCTAAAATTCACCAGCGCAAACAGATCAGCTGATTTGCAACAGCCTCGAAATGCGCTTTACCCATCGGTACAATATTATAAGTTGTATTCGTTACAATAATGTAATTAGGAAGAACAACATTTGTAGTTTCATTGTTTATAATATATATTTTTTTTAATTTTCAGGTGGCTAGAGATATAGCTTCTATGGCCGAGTCGGAGCCATGTGGCTTGAGAGGTTGCCATTTGTACGTGATATTCGAACCACAGGGTGGGTTGCCAACCACCCGCATAGGAAAGATTCAGTGCGACCCGGGTACTGCTTGTACTTTCGAGCTGTACTTAACTCTGAAACAAAGCTCCAACGGATGGAATTTCTTGCCACAGTTTATAAGGTAAGTTTGTAATCCCTAAATAAGGTTTTATTGCTACTTTATTACATTATTTTATTATATTTAGAGGTGTTCTACCAAGATTAGCTCTCGGCTGTATCTCGGAAAGTATTGGTCTATGCTTTTTTACAAAATTCTGCCTAGATAAGGAGTCTTATAAATTTTATCTTAATAAATTATTGACAATTTTGCCCTATTTGCTAAAATGAAGTGGTGGGGGAAGGTTAGATCTGTTTATATTTAAATGTTAATAACTTCGGACTGGGTTATCGGGATCCAACTAACTGAGGCTCGTTTAAAAGAGCATTCCTTACTCGATATGATATCATCCAGTGGCGTAACAACAGACTCACGGGCCTGTGTGCAAAAATTTTACCGGGCCTTCTATTACACCTACATATTTCAATACTTATATACTAATCTGAATAATATGCACTCATATTTTAGGTTAGAAATAAAATTATCAAATTAATTTTTATATAGTATTATTTATTACTGCAACACAGAGATATGTAACGCAAAACATAAAATATCAAATAAATAAAAAAAATAAATAAAAACAAAACAAAAAACAACTACTAACTAAATTAAAATAAACAATGTAAATAGGAACATGAACATGTTAAAATTCTTTTTTCCTTGCTTTAGCATGGGCGAAAGTTGACACAATATTACCAATGTCTATTGTACAGGCAACTTCATTTTCTATTGAAATAATTGCCAAAGCTGATAACCGTTTTTCGCCCATAGTATTTCTTAAATAATTTTTGACAAGCTTTAATTTGGAAAAAAAAATTCAGCCGAGGCCACAGAAACAGGTATGGTGAGAAAAATATGACACGCTGTTAAAATCTCGCTGAAACTAGAAGACGATGAAAGGGTTTTAATTAAAATAAATTCAATGAGTTCAAAAATGCAATTGATTTCATATAAATTATTTCGGAAATATTGCCTGAAGGAGAGTAATTGAGAACAAATCGTATAGGCAATATCATCGGGGTATTTAAGGTATAGAACCTGACCCATTTCATATATATTCTCATCAGAAACAGAAGGATTCTGCTTGATTCGCGATAGCATGTGATAGATATGGAAATGCGGCCCAGGCCCCTTGAGGGCTTGGGCCCGTGTGCTTCGCACACACGGCACGTCGATAGTTACGCCACTGATATCATCATCAACATAATTTTCAGCTTATTCAACCTTATTCCAATTATGGTGTAGCTTCCCTCACATATTTAGATACTCTTTTTGTAGTCGGGTCCATTGTTGTCTATTATTGGCCATGCGGGCCCAAGATGTTCCTGTTAATTTCCTAAGTCCATGGTCCCATCTCAGGTCTTCTCCTAGGTCCTTAATTCCTCGTGAGTATCATGCTGTACTTTTTATGGTCCATCTATTGTCCGTTCTTCTGGACTATTGCCACTTGAGGGATTTGATTCTGTGGATGACATCTATTATCTGGGTCTTTTGTCGTATCCACTCTATTTTTACGGTCTTTCTTGTTTATTCCCATCATATTTCATTCCATTGAGCGTTGTGCTACCTGCAGTTTCCGTATAATATCCGTTTCCAGGTTTCCAAGTGTCCAGGTTTCCCATGCATAGGTCATGACTGATAGTACACTTTGGTCGAATTCGTTTCTACTTTAGATAATCTTATAAATATATGATATTATCATATAAATAATAATAATAAGCATTTAACAGTAGACGCTAGGCGGCGCTGTCCTATGATTTAACAAACATTGTGCGAATTTTCAAAAAACTTAAATGCAATAGTATAATATGTAATTTCAGTAGTATAATATGTATCACAACTGATAGTAAAGAGAAATAAAAACTTAAAAAATCAGCACAAACCGCATTTTGATATTTTTTTTCAAACCGAAGATATTAGAAAAAGTATAATAAATAAATGAAAGTGAAAAAGAAACAACGCCTCAGTGAAGTCATGGTAGGCTTTGGAAAAATTGTAATGCTTTAGTATGCAAATTATTAACGTATGATTAGAAAACTATTCAATTTGTTTTCTTAGATGAAAAAGTTGACATGGCAAGTTAGTTTTCATCAGTTAAATAAATAAAAGAACTTGCCATTGTTAATTTTTAATAACTAAATTCAACAATTCATACAACTTTAATTACAAAGGAATGAATGTTATCCGATATTACAGTTCATAGAGTTCCTATTTTTTCATCATAACATGTTTCATTTTATAGATGGAAGCACTGTCTTGTTTATAACATAAAGTTCAGCCTTTTACATTTTAGGCCAGTCAATCTGGAGGTTGAGGTGGAAATAAATTAGTAACCAACCGATATCATCGGGAATATGTAGATAATGATCTCTTATTTAACCCCTCAAAAGTCCCATTCGGTACCAGTGGGGGAAGTTTGAAAAAAAACCCGCCGCCATCTTGGATTTTTTCGTTTTTTTTTCACATATCTCAGTTTGCATAACTTTTTTCGAAAAAACTAAAGATATGTTTTTTAAAAGTAAAGTAAAGATTTCAGTTAACGTCTCCTTTTTGCTGCCAGGGCTAATCTGGACGGGGCCTACTTTGTTTACGCAGAATCCGAACCGCGGTCCTCGGCCATATCATGGTCAATGGCCTACCGACTTGGCAAGTGTCTAAATCAACTCTTACTCACCAGATATCCGATCTCATCCGGCCTCGAACCGGCGCGAATGAGTAATGTGTGTCAATAGATTTTACACTTTTGTCTTTATTGGACAACAGCACGATACAGAGTTTCGAACCGGTCACCCGTCCATCCACTAGTATCGCGTTACGTCGCTTAACTTCGGTGTTCTAATGGGAACCGGTGTTTCGACGTAGCTGGACCGTTGCCTCGATATGTTTTTTGTAGAGAATTAAATTTAGAATATTTTACCTTCAATCATTTTTTTCTAAAATAAATAGTAATAGAGATAAAGCAATTTTTTACTATACTGTTTTATAAATTTTCCAGTGTTTTTAAACGAATCAGCTTTAATTTTTGCGTTAACAGTATAGTGTTAATATAGATAACCAAGTATAAATTTAAACATTAAAACAATTAAAAATAACGTTTAAATATTATTTATTAAATAAAATTGTTGTTAAAAAAATTATTATTAAATTAACGTTATTAAATTAAATCTGCTATGACGTCATCCTGAGCGTCCTCACCTAAAATATAAAAGTTTGTGCAACTGATTCCTTAGCACTAACCAGCCTTTGAAGAACAGTTAAGACCCAGTTTTCTACAAGAGTAATTATTAAAGCACTGACTCTCTTTGCAATTGCAAAAAATTAATTTTAGTAGGGCAGGAGGCGCCACATCTTCTGTTAATTAAATAGGTGTCAAATTGCCTTTTTGATCTTTCTTCCATCCATATTGTAAAGGATCGAACTTGTTGCCAATTCATTCTTGAATCTAAAAAATACAACTTATAACATTTCCTATAATAGATATGTATATCTTTACAGTTACCAGAAAGTATGTCCTGAGTAAATGGAGTTTTGCAGAGTTCTCAGTTGGAGGCAAATTTGGTAAATTGAAGGTAGTCTTAAGGGCCCAAGTGCAAGGGCCCATCAGTGCCCAAGCTATATTAAACATATTAACCAGTTGAGATACACTCTATACAATAGGATTACATCAAGACAAACCTTTAACTGAGAATTCTGCAAAACTCCATTTACTCAGGACATACTTTCAGGTAACTGTCAAGATACCTATATCTATTATAGGAAATGTTATAAGTTGTATTTTTTGGATTCAAGAATGGATTAACTATTGGATTGGTAACAAGTTAGATCCTTTACAATATGGATGGAAGAAAGATCAGAAAGGCAATCTGACACATTCAATCAACAGAAGATGTGGCACCTCCTGACAATTGCAAAGACAGTGCTCTAAAAATTGCTCTTGTAGAAAACTGGGTTTTAATGTTCTTCAAAGTGTGGTTAGTGCTACTGAATCAATTGCACAAACTTTTATTTTAGTTGAGGACGAAAATGACGCTCTGAGTAAACGTCACAACAGATTTCATTTAATAATTTTAATTTAATAATAATTTTTTTAACAATAATTTTATTTAATAAATAATATTTAAACGATATTTTTAATTGTTTTAATGCTTAAATTTATACTTGGTTAATCTATATTTACACTATATTGTTAACTCAAAAGTAAAATATTGCTTTATCTTTATTACTATTTATTTTAGAGAAAAATGATTGAAGGTAAAATATTCTAAATTTAATTCTCTACAAAAAACATATCTTTAGTTTTTTCGAAAAAAGTTAAGCAAACGGAGATATTTGAAAAAAAAAACTTCCCCCACTGGGACCGAATGGGACTTTTGAGGGGTTAAGTAGGAGATCATTATCTACATATTCCCGTTGAGATTGGTTGGTTACTAATTTTTTCCACCATTACATATAATACTCGGCTACGTTTACTGGCCTATTTCTGTTGCAATATGTAGTATTTAAAAACTATTTTTAATAACGGCCATTTAAAACAAAACTCGTTATACTCGCCAGTGTGTTAATGTTTATTATTATCTAAACAATGAAAAAAGCCATGAACACGCAAACTTTCTGTATTAAATACAAAATCGATACTTGTGTAGGCCACTATCTATTTCTTTTTTCTCTCTTATATTATAGATCTATACCCCCTTCTATGACAAGCCTTAGATTAAAATGCTTTTAAGGTACCAACCTATCCCATTTAATTTGACCATTTTATACTTGAACTTTACCTGGAAATAATAATGATAAATATGGTGCTTTATCACGCAACAAAGTTTAACCTGTATTGCAACACACGAAAGTGTTTTTTTCTTTCTTCTTTATGTTTGAAAATATTACAGTCAACCGATGTGAAACCGATAAAAAATGTGTTTTTATAATAATTGGGCATTAAAATATATAATGTATGCATAAATATATTTAAAATAAATTACAATTTAAAAAATGCTGATTTAAGTCTTTGCGACAATGACTGATTT